TCAGCAGTATCAGCTTTAGTTCAACTTATGTCGGTGTTCCCTGTTCAAAACTCTACATACGGGTAAACAGAGCCGAAACAGAGACCAGCTAGGAACAACCAGGTGTCCTTTGCACACCTGACATCAGTATTACTCTTATAATTTAAAATTTAAGAAAATAGCCTTTCTTCACTATGTTTTTTCAAAACATTTATGCTGTTGTATTATGTGGATAACCATTCTTAATTTATTGCATTCTGTCCAGAAATAATAACTAACTAGATCCTTCATATTGAGTCTTGGAGCATCAATATTATACATGTGAAAGACTCTCCTTGTTCCTGGGATACAGAGTTCTCTGAATCTGCTCATTGAAATAATTTCACCGACATCTGAAGAGCCTACTCAGTTTCCATTTATGGAAGTCATGCAGTATCCAATGACTATAGTACTTCATCTTTTTTACATTGTGCAATCAGAAAAGGGAAGCTTAAGTTATTGGTTTTATGTATTTATTTAATATAATGAAACTTTTATAACTACTGTTTTTGTTCTTGAGAGAGTCCGTTGAATTAAATGAAAAATTAATTATGACACAGGAAAAGTACAAGCCAAACAGTAATACCAAAGTATAATATTGCAGCTAATGTTAGAACAACGTTCATACAGTCATTCATAGAGTCATATTCATACCTTTTTTTTTTTTAACTCAGTGTATCTAGGAAATATGTAACAGCTATTTCGTTTTTTAAAAATTGTTCTTATCTTACAAATGGAGAGCTAAATGATTTTTATTATAACATTTTGTGTACATGATAAATGTACCAGACATCTGCAGGGAGTATGAATCATTGGAGTGGTCTGAATTATACTGAGAACTTTCAAAAATAACTGGAAAATAAAACTTTGTAATTGCTTTTTTTTTTTTTTTAAAATTAGGTTGTAATCTGGAAATATTTTACTGAGTATTTCAACTACCTAAAAAAAAAAGACTTCTGGTTCAAAAAAAAAAAAGAGTAGTTTTGGAAATGTATCCTCTCAGAGGTGCAGTGTATCTGCTGTGCATAAAAAAGTAGCACCAAAGCCACATTCTTCAAGCTCCTTAAACTGGTTCTTAGTTGATGGCTTGATGCCCCTTTATTATTCATTCTGACTGATGGGTAGGTTCTTGATCTAAGGGAGATGATCTTAGAAATAGCCTTGTCTGTGTGGGAGGATCCCAATATTCAGTTTTGAAATAGTACTTCTTCAAACTGTTCTCAGATAGATCACATCTGGCCAGCTGTGAAAAATATGTCTCAGATGTAGGACGTTTAGAGCGTTCTCTGAGTGTGCTTGTTACAATCATTTGTCCTACAACCTCAAATGCTTACTCACTGGCCATATAAGGATGTCAGACATAGTTAAATATTGTGCTCTTAATTATTGTAGAGTGTTTCATACAGAATTCATCCCGTTGAGACAGAGGAGTAGGTTATGGACTTTTCTCCAAAAATTGCAATTACCCTCCCCAACTGCAGATCACATAGGCAGTGAATGGCGTGTCTGTAAGCCAAGCGGCATGGAAGCCGAAGCCTTGAAATTGAGTGCTTGAAATTGGAAATTCAGTCAGTGCTGACATTGTCTTTCGCTCACCCTTATGCGCGTAGGCAGTAAAAGAGCCTTAACTCAGTAGGTCATCTTACATAATATTCTGCAAATCATTAGCACAACTGGGAGGTTGAATTTCATACCATTGTGTTTCCTTGCAATTGAATGTTTAAATCTGACACCTTTATTTTACTGTAATTTTTGTGATTTCATTTCGTATAAATCATGTGAAGACTTTGTGTGAAGGACTTAGTATTTCTTGGGTTTTATGTGTACTGCAAAAGAAATCAGAATATGAAATGTGTTAGAAACATTAGGTGAGTATTTTCTTCCCCTTTGGTATAATATCATGTATCCAAAAGTCATGAGAATCCAATGTCTACATTTAACTTCAGTCACATGTGTTTTCTTACTGATTTGATTCTTAAGATTTCAAATGTATTTGAATATTCAGGTAGTTCTTCAATTACTAAATGTTTTTTAAAATATTCTGTTACACAGTCCTGAAAAGGCTATAGTTGAGATTTGCTTCTCATTTTAAAACCTGGTTTAATGTCTTCCTGAAAGTCCGTAAAAGGGTTATTTCGTTTTATTGTCATCCACTTTCAGGGAAACACTTGTTTGGAGATATAGGATGATTTGTATGAACTGTATTTCTGAGATGCAGGAGACAGAAAACAAGTGTCTTGGTCTGAAAATTATTCTAGTTTTTTACAATAATGTATTAATAAGGATCAAGCTAAACTTTAGAGGAGCCTCGTACATAAGGCTGGGGGAATTTAAGAATAAAGTTTTTCATTGGAGGAAATTTAAATATTGAAAAGGAACAAAATTAGGTTTAGTACTAAATGTAAGCTTCTCTCCTAACTACATTCATGCTATGGATCATAAGGAAAAAAGCAAATGGTAGTTTTAATACCTCTTCCTTGTTCTTTGTGCTAGGGGGATTTATAATTTTATTTTTTGCAATGCTAACAGAGAGAATGAAAACGGAGAGAATGAAAATATGGGGGGGATGTCAAAGGATAAGAAATCGTGTGCTGTTTCATTAAAGCGCATGCTCTGCCTGTGCATCCCCGTTGCATTGGAACAGGCGATTCCATGGTGCCGCATGCACAGGATGGGGGTTACTCTGCCCTGTGCAGAGGCAGGCAAGGAATTAAAATGTTAAATGCAGCTTACACCCTGTTGCTAGAGAGTACAAAGCTCCTTTATTTTTTTGTTAAAAGCATCTTTTAGCAGCCAGCCCACAGTTCACGAACTGCTGTATAATCTCTGGTGTCGTTTGCCTGAGGCTGGCTAGCTGCTTGGGCAGAGCAGCGTGTCTGCTGGTCCCTGATACGAACTGCACTGCGAGCTTCCAGTCACTGCTGCTTTCACAGCTTCCTGCCATCCCAATAATTTTGGGCCTCCGTTTCAAAACCAACAAACCAAACTGATAACTATATTTTAATAGACGTAGATGATGTAAAGCAGTAGTAGAAGATAAAGGAAAATGTTAGCCGCAATACCACAGAAATGCATTCTTTAGGTCCAAGTGAACCTTTCCACCTTGCAAAATCCAGTTAGCAAGAATATGTACAAGGATGCCATTTTGCCTACCATTTGAATTTCTAGCTCCATAGGAAAGCAGATACACTACTTATTTTGATAATAAGATTCTGAAATATAGTTATTTGACCTGTGCCCCCATGACATTAAACTGTGATACTCCTCTGTGAGCACCTCTTAATTAGTCTAAAACAAACGCAACACACAGAGCTATTGTTTCTGGTTCTCTCCAAAGCTAGGTCAGATGCCACTGCTTTGGTTGCAGTAATATTTCAATTTTTTGTTGTTATTGCAAGCATAGCAACTGGAAATTTTTAATACATCCTTCCCTGTACAGTAACAACAGAGACTAGAGAAGAAGGTAGGGAAGGTATCTAGCTTCTTTCTTGCCTTAGGAGGAGAACAGTATACAGGCATTGCTTTCAGAGCTTTTCTTAATCCACCAATGTCCTTTATGTTGGAAGCATGGAGAGAAGCAACACAAGAGCTTTGCAATTCTCTGTGTCCTGGGATAGGAGTGCCTTGTTTATACTAACTGATTTTGCCCAGGCTTTGCTATTTCTATATTCAGGAGCTGCTGTCACTGCAGCATAAACTGAATGCATCACACTTAAGACCATAGCCCGTTGCACCCATGTAACCAGTATAATTGTTTCTAAGTACATTCACTTAATTTTTAGGTAGTGATTGTCTAGATTTATGAATGACTAAGTACACTTTAAATGTATTGTGACTAGATAGCTTTTACCTAATGTACTTCAGGCATTGTGACATTTTTCAATTCTGCCATACCTGATGGTTTATCTTTGTGTATCCCTGTTCTTCAAGAATCTGACTTAGGACATCTAATCTCTTTGGTTTGCCTATTCAAGCTGTAATAAAAAGTTAGTTCATTGATGTTTCTTAAAAAACTATAACCGTGCAAATCTGTTTATTACAATAAATCATTTCCAAAAAGTAAAAAAACAATTAAGAATTCTTTTCTCTTTTTCTGCAAGTGGTCTTATGCTTTAGAGAAGCCAAACACTGGCAGCGTATTTAATATTGCTTGGTCTATTGATGGCACTCAACTAGCTGGAGCATGTGGAAATGGACATGTCATTTTTGCCCATGTCGTGGAGCAACGCTGGGAGTGGAAGAACTTTGAAATAACGTTAATTAAGAGGAGAACCATGGAGGTAATCTTCACAGTTCAGAGCTGTGTATTCTGATTACTAGCTTTCTAAAGCTTTTTTTAATACAAAATGGCACTTTTTAATCCTCGACAAAACATTATCCTTTTTTTTTCTGTGTATATATGACTGAAAATGTTTAAGATAATAAAATGGCCAGAGTTAGCAAATGGTGTAAATAATTATCAGTTGTACAGCAGATCAGATCCATGTAAACCAAACCATACCACCAGATGGATCAGAATTACATAACTCAGAAGTACTTTATTCTCCAGAAAAATGTGAAGCTCATTTGAAGAGCATGTGAAATTAGCTGTGGGAGGCCACTTATCAGAGAGATAATTTCAAGTGTAATGAAAATGTTTATGCAGGAAACAATGCAAATATACTGGCCAAAACCAAAGCGTCATATTAAATAGTTTTACAGTAACTCTCAGCAAGCTGCATAATTAAGTGTGGATAATATAGAGGAGCTTTCTTTACCTTATCTGCATTCATGAGCTGTTAGAGGCACTGATGCACTTTGTAATCGCTAATGCTTTAGTGAGGTTTACTGTATCCCTGTTGTTAATGAAGCTACGATGAATGTTGCTGTCTTAAGGCATTTCCAGATAAATTTGGTTGCTGACTATAACTGTAAAGAGTTGTAATGTGCTTTTCTGCACCACGTATTGTATTACAGCCTAGATTCAGATCTTCCAAAGCTACAGAAATTTGTCATATATAATATAACATATATCAGGTACCTGTATGGTGCTTCCAGCTGAGTACTGAGCAATAGGCATTGACCTCAGTGGGAGCTGCCAAGTCTCAGCACTGCTGGAAATGAAACAGGCCCCTACATGTGGTTTCTGGAGCTTAAGTTTAGGATCCTTCTTTTGAAAAATCTTGGCCTGAATCCACATTTAGGTTACCAAATATCTGGGAATTAATACAAAAATATGAATTTTTACCTTCTAATTTGTCCTCTGTGTTCCCAGACACTGACTCACAGCATTCACTCTCTGAACACTGGGATAATATAAGATTTCCATTCTTACAAATTTTCCAAATTACACATTTGGTATTGGACACTGGGCCAATATTTTCAATAAAGAAGTCAAGTTCCTAAATTACTAATTAGGCCCTTAAATGTTTTTTGGTCTTGATTCTTTAATGTTGAATATGTAATTGGGAAAAGTTGTAACAACAGAAATGCTGTATTACAATTTGGTCTGGTGGGTGGGATAACATGAGTCAGTGTCTGGGAACACAGAAGACAAATTAGCAGGTAAAAATTCATATTTCTTCTTTCATTCCCAGACATCGACTCGTAACAGATGGGCTCTGTGAATAATCTCCAGGGTGTTTGAATATGCAAACGACTGAGGAAGTATAGCTAACCCTGATTCAGGACTAATTTTTTACTTTATTATTTTATAGTGATTTTATTTTATTCCCATATATTTATGTAGGAAAATATTGCCTACAGAAAATGTTCTAGATGCGTTCTTTTTTTCTGAGTGCTACAATAGCAAAGTTAATTATGGACATATCACTGTGGTGGACATAGCAATTAATATGTCTTTGGAAATGGTTTCTAGGCTTTCGTAATAATTGAGTTCAGTCCTTGTTTTGCAATTGGTTGCATAATGGAGAAAATCAAAAAGAAGTTATCACCCTCAAAATGGTGACATCTTAAAAAACAAAACAAACCAAAAAAAACCACCCCAACAGCAAAAAAACCACAAACAAACAAACAAAACCCTCCCTGTCATAAGATATCTCCTTAGATTTTAGCTGCCTAAAATCTTTGAGCTCAAAAATCTGTGTTGATTACAGGCAAACTGTGATTTTCTTGAAACATTGTCATTTGAGCAAATTTTCACAGAAATGACAAAGGCACAGCCTGCTCACCAAGGCCATCTCCTAAATTTCCCTTACGTCAGAGTGTGGTAGCATTAAAATATATGCTAGAGCTATTCAATATCTATACAACGTATCTTTATCCAAATCTTGGATATTGCTGAATTGTTTTGATGGGATCACGATGGGATCACTGGAGTATTATATTTCAAATGTTTAAATAATCAGCAACTGAAAATTGAGTCTTAAAATGGGAACTTTCAGACATCCTTGATCTCAGATGATTTTCTCAACCTCATGTATAATATTGTGCTTATACCTTATGTTTTCCAACTACACATTAATCACTCCTTTCTTTTAAGGAACTCCATCCAGCTCTTCAGTAATTATTCGTTGTTTTTTCGGAGTTTATAGAACCTTTGAGTTTAAGTTTTCACCAGTGCTGTGAAGGTGTCTCTTCCCACATAGATATGTTCTGCTAATGGCATAATAGTATCAGCATGTACTTATAATAAGAAAGAATATGGTATTTCACTAGTTAATTTCCATTTCAGTTGTTTTATTAAACCAAAATTTTCTTTTGATTAGGTGCACAATGTTATTAATGATGCGGTAGATTTGTTGGAATTCCGTGACAGGGTTATTAAGGCCTCTTTGAACTATGGGCATTTGGTTGTTTCAACTTCTCTTCAGTGTTACGTGTTTTCGTAAGTAATAAAAATTCATTAAGCTTTCTCAAGTTTATCTAACAATTGTAAGAGAGTAGGAGAAACTTTATTTGAAGTACTTAATTTTTTTTTTTTTTTTTTTTTAACTAATTGAAATATTCTATGGAACCTAGCATCATCTACAGCAAAATGTGTTGGAGTATAGTTGCCCTCCCCCTGTCATCCTTTCTTTCAGCTTCTTGCTGGTGCCATGACTGCCTGTTCATTTTGCTACAAAAATTTGGCAGGCTTTCTTTTCATCTAGAAGCAGCAGGAGTGGTGGCTGGATGCAAGTGTATTTGTGCCTCCATCTAGGGACTCTTTTTTTTTGGATACTCCTTCTGGCATGCCGTTATTTTGGAATAAAATAGGAATGATTCAATCCTGCATCATGTTTTAAGAACATGATATTCTGTTTCATATGCTGAAATTTAAAGTTTACTCCTAAAGGCACTTATCTGTTCAGTGAGATGACTAATGCTGAACAATAATGCAGCCTGTAATAGGGCACAGAAGAGAGGGACTCTATCCTACAGGCGGATCACTGTAAAAGAGTTGAACCACAATTCTGAAATATTTTTAAAATATGTTTGTTTCATATAAATATGATTTTGCTGTTTACTCAGACTCCTAGGTCAGCTGCTGCTAGTGTGAGGGATGCAAAAATGCAGGCAGAAGTATTATTGGATCACACTGCATGGTTATCAGTGTTACTTGGCTTCCTAAATGCTGTTTTCCTTTTTAAAACCTCCCTTTTTAGGAATGTTAGATGATTAAAATGTGTGTGCTTTACTTAGTGAATTCAACTTTGTATTTGCAATGATATGTGAGTATCAGCGGTTTTAACGAATGATTAATTTCTTCTTTGCAGTACAAAGAACTGGAATACACCACTGATCTTTGACCTGAAGGAAGGAACAGTTAGTTTGATTCTACAAGCAGAAAGGTAGCTTACTTCTTGTAATGATCACTATTAGATGTGAATGTGCATTTCCTAAAACTTTATATAACGTAAGCACATATTGAAATAATAGAAATAGACAAGAAGTATACAGTATTGGTAAGTAGCATGCAAAGGCTTTGCTGGTATATTTGCCATGGTTGTGTGATGGTGGTAATGAATCTTTTCATATACTACATATGTATGTTATACTCTTACTTATGGAAGAAAGTAGATCTTCTGACATTACACTAACACTATGTTTTTTGACGTTTTATATTGCTTTTTTGAACTGGAATATATTTTATATAAATTATCTTTGGTCTCCAATTTTTATTAAAAGCATTGCCAGGTATGCCAAATAAAAAGATATAGTTGCATTTTTCTTACATATTTGTATTTATATTTGCAAGAAATTACTATTTCGTTCTCAGTTTAAAAAAGTTTTAATCTGTATTTCCTGAAAATCATTTGTCAAAGAGATGTTTACGTATGCTTTTGTAGAAAGAGAGTCTTTCAAAGGACTAAGAATAGGAACAGAAGTAAAAAACCTTGAGTTTTGATTGTAGTCTTAATTCTCTTGCGCAAATATTGTCAGACAACTGTTTCAGCATAGTGCAGCACAAAGCTCACTGCATTTTTGAGTGCCCCAGGTTAAACATTTATGTCCTAATCTACAAAGATACTACAACGGAGAAGGGGTAAGCAAGTGGACAGGATTTTGAAGATCAGGTTCTAGATTTGAAGTTTTGTGCTGCCAATTAAAAGTAAATTTTGAAAACATGACACAGATTCTTTGGTAGTGTAGGTGATCATGATGCCACAGAACTGAACCTAAGGTTTTGGTAAAACCAGTCTACCTCGACAGATAATTTGCAAACAGACAGTGGTTCATTTGGTGCCAGTGATTAGTAATATTTACAATAGCTGAGGGTCTAGCAACTGGCTTTTTGTTTATGAATATGTTTTGTGCCTATAAACTATAGATACTGTACTTACCGGACAGTTATTGTTACGTAGAACAATTTATATTCTTTATAACATTTTGCAAAGTTTTCCTGCAAATAAGTTATTTTTCACTGAAGCCCTGCATCATAGTAGATGGTGATCAGTTCATTAAAAGTGTCTTCTATTTGCTTTATGTTATGATCTAGTCATACTGAAGGGAATGATACAGGTAATACTATTTCAAAGCTAGCTGTAAACATTAAAGCTGTTTCTCACATATATACACAAAGCGTTGTCTCATGGGATATGTGTGGGGATACTGTCTGCAGCTGTATGCTTTGTCATCAGGAGTTGTAAGATTTAAATGTTATAATATCTGTAACAGATAAAATCATAGTGATTCCAGATAATAAATATTTCTCATGGAAAAAGATAACATTCACATTAAAATTGAAATCTTCCATACAGAGTTTTCAGAATATCGACTTTGAAGTGTAAAGCTTAGAAATGATGTAGTTTAACTGAAAACAATTGCAGGATATTAGACAATTACCTTAAAATTGTTGAAACTGTCATCATGCTTTTCTGTATTTTTTAGTGATTTACATTTTTGTTGGGGTTTTTTTTTTAGGCATTTTCTTCTTGTAGATGGTGGAGGACTTTATTTATATTCATATGAAGGAAGATTAATTTCCTCTCCAAAATTTCCAGGAATGAGAACAGACGTTTTAAATGCCCAAACAGTATCTCTGAGTAATGATATTCTAGCAATAAAAGACAAAGCTGATGAAAAGGGTAAGTTCTCTGTTCTAACAGTTCCATGTTTGCTAATAATTCATTATGAAGTTATCAACATCTTCGCATTTAACTTTACTTAGTATAGTTATGGTAAAAAAGAAAGTATAAAGCATAAGCAATTTATCTATGATATAAATTAAAGATAATATTTATTATAAAAATGAATTAAAATTATGGGTTTTGCTTAACTTTGATTAAAAAACTTAGAAAATGATATATGTCCCTGAACTTCCAGTTGTGTGTAATGCATCAGAGAGCCATGGAATATTTACAATAAATACTTGAACGGTAGGTTTTCACTCTCTGACGTGATTTTCTAAAGAAGTTCCTCAGCAACTTTTTCTGCTTGACTGCTGCTCTTAGAAGCTACCAGTACATTAGCTGTGATTAATTTTAGTTCTCAGATGTTCTTTGTTTTAGTTTTTTTTGGGGTTGTATCTTTACAGCATGTGAGTTTTATATGCAGCTGATATTACCATAGTTATGAGGCTGTGATGTTCTGTCTCAGTGTTGTGTTCTTGAAGATTTTTATGCTCTTAAATTTTGGTTTTTTGCATCAAAAGCACTATAATTATAAAACACGACATAGCCAAATGAGCTTCAGGTAAATTTTTGCATTAATGAGTGGTACAGGAATATCTTTTTGTCAGTCAGCTTTTTTCCTTTGCAAATGTGTGGTTTGCCTGTGCAACAATTTAAATTTTCAATGTCTGCTGGAGACAGACACTTCCATTACTGGAAAACCCATGACACTGTGACTTCTGACATCGTAACTGCCATTTATAGGCCATACAAATATTACAGTACAGGGCTGCAGTGCTATCTATAGCTGTATTTCTCCTGCGATACGGCCATTAAGGGGATTACCGGTGGGAACAACTGTGCAAAGGAGGTGCTGTTACTGCACAGTGAAACAGTGAAAACTTCCTGCCCGTCGTTGTAACTGACACTAACTCAATCTATTATCTATAACTCTATCTGTTATCCTAGATTTAATGATTAGATTTTAAACAGTTTCAGAATTTTAGAATTCTTTGTCTTGCAGTAAAGAAGAATCACATTTATCTTCTTTTTGCCATAGAAAAAAAACCTTTCAGTGTGAAGTACAAAAGACAAAAGAAGATCCTGATTATTATAGGCAGTGAGTTGGCCTACCATTGCATGGTAGTTTTCTCAGCATATAACCCACAACTTAAATTACTTGATGGCTGAAAAACCCCTTATAATAATCCTTTAAAATATCCCTCCCCAAGCAAAAGAAAAAACAGGTGAGATTTTTCTCACTTCCTTGTTACAAAGCAATTTTGCTACTCTGTACAACTTATATGTATGGTTTTTTTCTTGTACAGCCGTATGTTTTATGTGAAAACAAATACTTTAATTATTACACAGCTATTTATTTTACATATTATTCATTTTGAATAATTACTTTAAAGAGTAGTAATGTAACTGTAATGCATATTTCATTTTTAAGGACAACTACTTCAGAAAATATTATCCTCAAGCATCAAGATATTAAAGATATCTAAAATAGCTATGTAATAATTAAAATGGATTTTAATTAGCAAAGATATATTTCAGTGTAAATTATTCAGAAGAAAGTAGTAGTTTGCAAAAAAAAAAAAAAAATGGATAAGTGAAAAGTTGCATCTTATTTTTGATCTTTTCTCTTTTACTCTGTGTGTCTTTGTATTTATATTACACAAGTGTATGTATGTTTATTTATATTTTACTTAATATGTATAACACAGAGACTTTATTTTATTGCCATATTGACACCTTGATGCAGTTAGATTAAAAACAATGGAAGTATTTTAAATAAATTGAGGTTATATAGAAAATTCATCCAGAAATATTGACTGCTGTCTATAGGCATGCATGTTTAAGATTTTGATGGTAAACTCACTCTCTTGCCCTGGTCCCCTGCCCATCTTCCTGAATAGACTGAAGAGCATCTCCATCTCCCAGCCATTCCTGTTAGTGTCCTGAAAATCTTGGCAGCTGGCATGCAGGCTAATCAACAAAACTGTAATTTACAGAGGCTGGGTTTTTGTCTATGTTTTCAAGATAAACTCTCCAAATGATCTTGTTGATAGGAGCTTCCATCAGGGCAATAAATAGGGGTGGGTTTTTTTTTTTCTTTTTTAGATACGAGTCCCACTGGTAGTGGTAAAAAGCCTTGTAATATGCCAGCACATGGGAAAACAGATTCTTGGCACAGGAAACTGCGGCTTATCTAGGCCTGTTTATTCTTCTTGACTCACCCCAGCAGAAGTGTTTTTCTTCTTGCCCTATTTTGAGGGCAGGTCTGTTTTTCATAATGCACTGCATTATAGAAATATCTAAGATAGCTGTTTGATACAGGAAGCAGTTTACACATCGTAGCATGGAGCTCTCTACAAGCTAATTTACTCTGAAACAGAGAGAGATACGACTTGCTGTGCTTCAGTGTTGTTACTTGGATATTCTTCCTCTTTCAGTAATCTAGAAAAAAGATTGGTACCTCTGCTCTTACAGTCCTTCCTCAGTCTCTAATGAAGCTGGAAGAGGGAGGTGAGCCTATTCTCCAGAGGGAACTTCTGGCCCTAGGGGCAGTTATTCTGTGATAATAGAACGTGTGTGTTAAAAGACACGCAGTAGCTGTTCTCTTTCTCTGGATGTTCAAAGTGAGAGAATGCCTTTTGTTTATATTTTTAATTTATACATATAAAAAAAGATATATTTTAGGTTCCAACGGATTGTAAAGTGATGTGGAGTTTTTCCAGATAGGGGAGGGAAAAAAAAACCCAACCCCAAACTTATTTTCTGAAATACCTTAATAAGCATTGTAGATTAATGAAAAGTTAACCAATTTTACTTGTCAATTAGGTACAGTGGTTTTCTTTAAAAGTCTCTTAATCTCACTTCTCTTAGGTAGTACAGTAGCAGTAAAATTGGCTTGTATAGCTAGATCAAAACAAATTTCATGCAGGGAGCCATGCATAAAAGTGAGAAAAATACCACTTCTCAGGAACAACTATTTTTCTTTTGTATATTTAGCCAGCTGCCAAGAGCAACACTTGTGCAAAACCCTTTCTTTTCTTCCTCTGCAAACTCAACCAATGCTTTCTGAACACCTGCTCTTACAGTTTTTTTTTTTTTTAATTCTGTCTATATAACCATTGACCTCAAACCAACATCCTGTGTCCTAGTGAAAGAAATGCACAGCAGGATTAACATGTTAACATCGCCATCCTTTGGAATGAACGTGTATGTTCATCTTATATTGTATACTTACAGGTAATGTGTTGAAACCGCAGGTGGGATGTGTTATTGAACATCTGAAATGTTTCTGTCACATCTGTGTTTTCCATGAACTAATGCAGAATCGTGTGCTTTAAATTACAGCTGGTGTTTCTTATAATTTACTGTTTTCTCTAGGTTTGAATACTCTACCTGAACTCTACAGACATCTGTCTGAATTCGTGTGTATATTCACAGACTATATGTAAAGTATGTATGAAAAGTTTTTGAACGCACATGGATGTGTGTGCGTCACACACACGTATATGTATAGAGAGAGACAGAAAGAAAGAAAGAGAACCTTTATTTTTAGGCAAGTTGCGAATTTGAGTCTTCACTGGATATCCCAGAAATACAGATGATGTAGGTGGGGGTTTTTTGGAGGGGTTTTTTGTTTAGTTTTTTTTTTGAGGGTGAGACGGAGAGAGTGGAACAGGTAGACTTCTGGTAAAGATTGCAAGAATTATATATGAAATTCAAGTATATCTGGGTAAAGCAGATACTTTTTGAGGAGGAAACCAGTTATTAATGTATTGCCATTAACTGTATCATCATGACAAGCAGAAACCCTAAACTGTCCTGGAAGAAAATATGCCTAGGGAGCACTGTATTAAGAATTCAAAATAGAGCAGATTATTAACAAAATAGAGAATGCTTCTGAAGAATGTTTTACGCAATAGTTCAAAGGACAGCTTTCTATCTGATACCAATTCCTTTAGGAAAATATATCAGTCGATGGTATCACTTCCTAAACTTTCATATTCATCAAAATTGTGGGTTAAGATTGAGTAGATCTATCAGATCGCCTTGGTAACATTAATTTATTCAGAATGCAGGGTGCAAACTTGCATCAAATAGAACTCAGTGTCATTTCTGTAAATAACCATTTGAGCTGTGATAGGAAGTAAAACATTAGTTTTCTCAATTCTGTATCCATCCATAATATCATGTTTCAATGGCTATCAATGCTCTGAAAATAATGATATTTGAGAATTTTCACAGATCACTCCGATTGCAAAATGAGACTATTCCTAAGCTCAGCAGACATGGTTACATTTTCCCAACTGTAAGATTCTTTTTTGATCAGAGTGTGAAAGTCATGGTAACAATGATGGTTACATTTTCCCAACTGTAAGATTCTTTTTTGACTGGAGTGTGAAAGTCACTGGTAAGTGTAGCACACAGTAATAAGTATCCACTTGCAGTAAATTGTACTCTGAAAATGAATGGAACTGCTTGAAAAGTCTATGAAAAACTGTTGCTTTTAACTAATAAACGATATAATTTTTTTTTCTTCAGTTATCTACGTATTTGAAGCTTTATCTGGAAAGCCATTGGGTGATGGAAAGCCTCTAACCCATAAGGTAAGGTGAAGGATATAATGTCTCTTTTTTATTATACTTTGAAATTAAGAATCAATAATGGGTTTCCTCAATAATGAGTCTAATAACCTATTAAAGATTTACAATCTTAATAGAAAGGAGCTTGGCAACTCTAGCTGACTCTTACAAAATAACAAAAATCAGATTCTTTATGCAGTGTCGATGTACAAAGGGGTATACTGTAGATTGTGTTCAGTTACTGGCGTGTGTTTCCCATGACACATAAGAGTTTGAAACTACAGGTAAATAGTTTTGTTATGCAGTAAAACTAATCAACTGAGTTTCCTTTGCATGTACTCCAACGCAACTTTTATTAGTGCTGACCTGTTGTTAACACTGAAGAGAAGAACATCACTGAAAAGTGGTCTGTCTTCAGTCTGAGCTTTTACTGTTTTTACTTCAAAAATGATTGCCTGAACTGCATTTTACTTTTCTTCACTCTTCTGGTATACAACAAAAGCAAAATTAGGCAGCTTCTTTGGAGAGAGGAATAAACATTCATCTTTTAGGCAGCTTTTGCTCTGAGACTGCCACTTGTATTTCTGTAGTTTTGTAGTAAATTCCTAAACTGCTGACTCTTCTCTGTTGCAGTTTTGTTTTAGTCTGCATGAAATTCAATTTATATAATGCTTCATTCAACAGAGAAGACACACATAAAGTGTCTTCACAATCCAGTTTTTCACGAGTTTTGTGCCTTGTTTTTAGTAAAGCATTCATTTGTTTGAATATCACATGCTTTCTGTGATATGAATCTCCAAAATAAAAATCAGATATTTTCTTTTTCCTTTTCAGACAGAAATTGTGGAGATTGCTTTGGACCAGAAAGGACTTACAAGTGAAAGAAAAATAGCTTTTATTGATAAGAACAGAGATCTTTACATTACTTCAGTTAAACGGTTTGGAAAAGAACAGAAGATTGTCAAAATAGGTAAGAAAAATTCAAAATAATGTTTAACTACATGCTAGCGAGCAAATAGACTTTTATCTAGTACAAAAGACAAAATTTTGCTTTTTAATTAATAGTGAAATTGGACTTGGAAAAACATTAGAAATAGTCCTGTGGGTTTTATAAGGTAACGGTAGAAACAATTTTAGTACATTTTATCTAAATTCTGGTAATTTTTCAGTTGTTAACATTTAAGCCCTTGTTATTGCATTCCAGAGCAAGCACCTAAGAGGATATTGGAGAAGGATGTATTCAATACAGAATCTTTCAGACATTTTTCTTGCAAATGCAAACTCTTAAGCTCATAATATTTTTAATTAAAATTTTAAATGCTGTAGACAGATGCATGATCCAGTAAGTACGAAGGTGCAGTTTGACCACTGTGTTAATTTTGACCTCCAGTCTCAAAACTAAGTCCAAAAAACATTATTCTGAAAAGAACTTTCTTTCAGAAAGAGAGAACTGAATTTGGCTGAAAGTTTGTTACCTTACAAACTAGGGTGTTAAAACCAGTCCTTATAAAAGGAACTAAGAATGACTAATAACTACCCTTTTACTACAGTTTGAGAAGTGTACCTTTATTTTGAAGTTTCTTGTGGAAATGCATATTATTCTGTTATCTTTAAATTAAGGGACAATGGTTCAAACTTTGGCTTGGAATGACACGTCTAACATTCTTTGTGGGATTCAAGATACCCGTTTTACAGTCTGGTACTACCCCAACACAGTCTATGTAGATAAAGATCTTTTGTCAAAAACTCTGTGTGAAAAAGATGCAAGGTAATATATCCTTTTTGATCAAAATAGTATTGTTATGTATTTTAACTAGTTTACTCATTCCTTAAATAATTATATTAATTTTGGTAGTTGAAGTAGAAGCCAGGGTTGCAACTTCTAAAATTCTTTTCATGTTACTACTTCTTGATTAGGAAATGAGGAAAAAGTGTTTTATAAGGTATGTCATAAAGTTTAGATTTGAAATGACAATGCGCAGTTTAAAAGTAGAATAGCAGCTTGATGCAAAAGCAATATTTTAATCGTATCTTGTGAAATATTGCCTTAGTTGTTTGTAAAAAACCAAACAAAAAAGAAGAGCTGTTTAAAGTAGCTGTTGGAAATTACAAGTATCAAGATACCAGGTCACAGATAATATTATTTCTAGCTCAGCATGTTTACTTTACCTGTTTGCTTCAGCCTGTATACTTTGTGATATGAAATTCTTCATAAAGAATACCTGAATTCATTATTTCATTCTAAGAGTTATGGGAGCCCAAATATTTTTTACTGAAAAATGTATTTGAAAATTTTTGCACAAATACCCAGTTTGCATTTGCCTTACAGCCAGTGAATACGCATAACTACCATTTTATTTTTAGAGAACATTATAACTGTTGGATATAACTGTTGAATAACTAGGTGCTTAGATTTTTATGTGCTCTGAAAAGGAGGTATAATCATGTTGTAATTTTGAAACAAAGATCTCTTTAAATTCCTGATGTTTTTTTCAGTAAGAAAGAAGTGAATATTAACTTGCCTTTCTTTCTCTACCCAGTGAATTCAGCAAAAACCCCCAGATTGTACGTTTTGTAGGTAATCAAGTAACAATTAGAAGAGCAGATGGTTCACTTATTCACCTTAATATTTCACCTTATCCTGCGATTCTTCATGAATATGTTAGTAGTTCTAAATGGGAAGATGCTGTCAGATTGTGTCGCTTTGTCAAGGTAAATGCTAATTATCAGGAACATTCAGATATAATTTCACTGTAATATTTATGTTTTCAAGTATTTCTTTAATAATGGTAATTGTGTATCAGATGCTACATCTCATTTCCATTCTTCTGCTTTGTTGCTGATTATTTTGGGGCTGGTCATGAAAAATTACACATTTTTCATAATTACATAATATACATATACATAATTTCATAATTTTCATATACATAATAAAAATTCTTATTTCTATTCACACCAACGTCCAGATGGATTGAACACAGGTACTCACAGAAGTTAGTAATAAGCTTTAAGTTTTCAGGACTAGGCCTTAATATAACCGATTAAAAATGATCTGCATCTCCACAAACAGTTGCCTAGTATTTTTTCATGTTTTATTTCACTTGTTTTTGTTTTTTTTTTTTCCTTTGCTTTCTTTTGTATGTATTTAGACAACAGCAACAGATGAGGTGAGTTTGGCAGCCTTTAAAACAGACAAACAAAAATCCCCCCCAAAACCCTGCTTCCTTTCCCCCATGTACTCCTAGAAAAGAATTTAGCACTTTCATATGATTATCATGAACTTAAATATGTATTTCAGATATTTTTTTATTTGCATTATTAAATCAATACACATCCAGATAACTTGGGTTGTATAATGATTTTTATTTTTAGTGTTACTCCTTTAATAGTAGGCTTTTATTCCAGTATTTAGCAGTGGGAACTGGGATTTCAAATACAGTATTATGTTAACTTTTTTGAGTAATCTAAATGCATCATTTTTAAAAATAAAACATCTGTATCGGGTGGTAATATTCATAATATTGTTTCTTTCTGATTAAAAGGAAGGTTTTCTAATTCAAGGATGTTTTTTCCAAACTTCTCATGCACCCTCTTCATTCTTATGGGTAGAGTCATCCAATGAGTTTAATCATACTTAAAAGGAAAAATGCTTAAAATTTTCGGTGCTTTTTTTATGAAATCCCAATGTAGGTATCATGTTTTTTCACTGTTCTTTTTTTATGAGCTTTTCCTCATTAGTCTGTATCTGTCAACAAGTGAGGAAGGCCTTTCAAGAAAAACTAACAGAATCTTTATTTTCAGTGTGAAGAATATTCACATCATCTGGTTTTAAGCATCCAAGTTAGGTACCTAGGTCTCAGTCTTTGAAGACTGAGAAAGGAGTTTTTATTGATTCACAAAAGAAAGTTTTTGTCTTTGATAGAAGGTAATATAAACCGGCCTAAATTAAATGGTGTGAATATCCTTTCTATTTGGCAATTTGTGTTTGGGCTGAGGGATGACCTGGAATACCCTCACACCAAGGTAAACAGAGAGCCATCACAGCAGGTCTTGCCTGGAGTACTTTGTTTATCTTTCATGATTCGTAAACTCTTCATGGAGATACAGGGCTATTTTGTTGATTTTGGTAACCCAGGTAGACAGTTCAAAGTATTTCCAAACAGTAATAAGAAAATGGACCACCTTTCTGAGGAAAGAGAGAACAGCAAGACCTATTGGTGAAAAACTCCTGGAAACTTGGTCTCTTGAATAATTTCAGGCTGAGCTTTCAGCATTCTATCACCTAATTTTCTAGATAATAGGGAAGTGGGAAGAGAACATGACCAAGTTTCTATGAGCACTTGAGTCTCTGAACAATTTTAATTCTCCCAAATTACGGGCTACCAGCAGGAAGGTTTATCTTGTCCTGAATCGTGGTAAAGAGAAGGAACACGTGGCCAGAGTAGGAACACGTGCAGAGATGGTGATAGTGAAACCACAGCCTTAGGCTAAATTACTGTATTTCGTTGGCTTCAGTGGGTCTTACCAATTTTGTTTCATAAAAAAGCGGTTGTGAGACAGGGCATGGGAATATGTTTAGAGCGTACTCAGTGTAGCTTCCTATGCTGCTTCTGAAAACCTGTTCACATTGCAAAGTGTTTATTTTCAAATTTGTTATTGAACATATTTAACAAAAATACTAAAAACCACATAATTCCTAGAGTGCATGCGGCCTAACAAGTGCATTCAAAAGTACGTTTTTCCTGTTTGAACTAGAGTTTTCAGATGTGCTAGCCTAAACTGTATTAACTAATACGTTTTAGTAGTATACCTTTGTCATAATGTTGTCAGACTTGAAAAGGAAAAGGGAAGATATCAAAATGTCAGGATCTTCCTAAATGTTAGTGGGGTTTCCTTAAGCTTGTGTAAAAAAAAAAAAAAAAAAAAAAAAAAGGCAAAAGTCTTGAAAATAGAAAACAAGTGTGTAATATTATTATTACCACTGTTTTTCTAATTCTTAATTCTAAACATAAAATGTACTGAAAATATCACAAAGGAGACAGAACTTTTGAAGCTCTTATTTACTTTTCAACAGGTTCATTGTTCTACAGTCAAGTAATTTTTTTCCTTTCTCTTTCATTTGTAGTACGTTTATGATAAATATACAGTTATTGTTATTGTCAGCATCATGGTTCCAGTACAGTTATTTGTAAAGCCAGGTTGAGATTATCCAGGTTAAAATAATTTTTTTAACTACAACCAGTGCTTTGGTTGCCAGCATAGTTCCACAAGTAGTGACAGGGACACCGATGATGAGGTTGAAAACTGATACTGTGGCAAGAGTTCATTACTGGCTGAGATGCTGAAAACTAATGATTCATTCAGCCACACTGTCAGTCTCAGCTGGTCACAACATCAATGTTTTTATAATGAAGGAGTTCTGAGAAATAATTAAGTAGTGACTTTCTAATAAGAGACTTAGACCACGGTGCCATAAATGGCATACTGAGAAGTGTTGTATTATTATACGTTATTTTCAGGACTTGCATACTTCCTTTGAGAAGTCATTTTTAGCATGAAGTTTTAGGAGTTGCATTGTTTTTAAATTTCAGGATCAAACTATGTGGGCATGTTTAGCTGCTATGGCGGTTGCCAACAAGGACATGGCTACAGCAGAAATCGCCTATGCATCAATTGGTGAGGTAAGAAAATTGAGTTATTTATTTGCAGTTAAATTGTTGCAAAACTAATTTTATTAATTCATTTCCATTATTAAACTATTGTACATCTCGTTAACAGATTGACAAGGTTCAGTATATCAATTCCATCAAAGATCTTCCATCAAAAGAGTCAAGGATGGCTCATATACTGCTGTTCAGTGGAAACACTCAAGAAGCTGAAACCCTGCTTCTTCAAACAGGCCTTATTTATCAAGCTATTCAAGTCAACATTAATCTTTACAATTGGGATAGGTAGTATTTCTTCAAACACAATATGTTTATAAGCAGTCTTACTAAGGTAACCTGTAAATTATTCAGATCAGTTGTTTTATTGCAGATACTTAGCTGACTAATTTCCTATCTGTAATTGCCCAGAGCTGTAAAAAGATGAAGTAAATCATATCCTGACAATAACCATAGAAGTAACTTTTTTTCTGTGATATTTAGAAGATACAAGTACTCAGTGATAAAAGTCCAAAATATGCTTGGAAGCATTTTTAAATAACATTTTGCTTTTTCATTATTGTTAAAACAGGAAAGTCCTTAGCGATACTTCAAACTGTATGTGACCCTCAAAGAATTAAGGCTGTTTTGAAATGTCTTGTTGCTAAAAATAGATATGTGGCTATTCAGACTCCCAGCACTGTGTAGGTGGATGAAATATGAATTAGGCCTGAGAAAACAAAGTAGGAATTTCTCCTTTAAACAAAACCCCACATTTTCTAACAGAATCTTGAAGCCATTTACTACTAATATCTCTGCTATTATATTCATATCACTGTGGGCAAAAAGTTGATTTTCCCCCACCTATCTGTGTTTTTTATTATGTTGCCTAATATGCATCATCTAAAAACTGTGTATATCAAACATAAGTATTCCTTGTGCCATTGAGAAGAAAACAGATGTGAGAGCAATCAATTATACTAATCCAATGACTAATCTTTCCCGCCTGTAGAATATTCGTAAATGCTGTGTAGCATACGCCATAAGTGTGTATTATGATGCTGTTCAGAAGCGATTCCTGACTGTAATAAAGTTAGTAAAAATTATTACTTTTGCCCCTTTATATTGAGAGTGCTAAACTCCAACCATTCTGTTTTATTTCCTTGAAATAAAAAGACTCCTATTGTCAAACTCCAATGATGTGATGAGGTTGTCAATAGAAATAATTGTTGGATATTTTTCATAGCATGCATCATAAAGCAGACAGTCTCCTTCGCTGGCTACTTTTAACCTCCTGTGACTGATACTAATGTAAAACTGCTTGGCACTATAGATTAGGAATCTTTGCCTGCAGCCCAAACGCTTTTCAGCATATCGGTTTGCAAAACCATGGTGATTGTAGTTGTGCCAAAGCATTTATATAACCTGACAAGCCCGTTTCTGTTTCATTCCAGGGCCCTAGAACTAGCAGTAAAGCACAAGACACATGTTGACACAGTCCTGGCTTATCGACAAAAGTTCCTAGAGGACTTTGGTAAAAAAGAAACGAACAAAAGGTTTTTGCAGTATGCAGAAGGTGTAAGTATTCCTCAGAATTATTCCTATAGCTTTAGATCAGTCTGCTCTTTGGTAGCCAGTTTGGGAGGCTGGGGGGGAATTGCTCTCACATTTTCCTTCTTTGGTTCAAATGTGGACACAAATCTTAAGATTTTACATCTGAGTACAAGTTCATAGCTTGATGTGTGGCTACTTGGCTAGTAATAGTTGTGCATGTGTTTTATTTGAAGGCACAGATACGGAATGTGTATATTTAGTATCAGGCAAGGATTATACAAATAAAGGCACAGTTGTTTTCTATAAACAGGGAGCTAGACCTTAGTATGGTTGAATGTGTACCTCTTAAATGTCTTCAACATTTTTATGTAATTTTATGGATAGCAACAATAACAAACTTTGAAGGTATCCAGATATATATTGAGTGAACTACGAACTGTTCTGCCAAATATGATAAATAGCTAAATATACAATTTCATCAAACCTTTGGAAACCCTCTCGATCATCAGTAGGTCAATTCAATTTATTAGCATTTCATAGATCTTAAAGACTGAGGACAGATCTTACAGTGTATAAGCTAAAGGTATTTTAGATTCCACTGGAGTACTTCTGCACATTTCCTTTATGAGAGGCACCACATGTGCAGCTTAGACAGCAATTTCATTGAGCAGCCCTTAAGTCCTTCCTGTTCTTCCCCTCGCTGTTCCTAAGCATTCTGAGAGTGAAACTATAAAAAGAGACGTGTACTTTGACTGTGTCAGATCCTTTCGTCCACTGTAGCTGATGGATCAGGAAATACATCTGAGCTGTTAGCTCAGATCCTTTAATTGGACAGTGCCCATTACACTTTCATTAACGCTTGATTTCTAATGTAAGTCATTAGCTTTTAGCACTTCTAAGGATGTTTCATTTCCTAAACAAGAATAAAAATCTGCACAATATCTAGCCCCTCAATGAACCATTCTGCAGTACTTTACCTAGAAAATACAGAAAAATAACAGAAGAGATTCCCAGCACTCCTATGCAGCAATTTCGGCTGCTATGCTGGAAATATGTCTTCTACATATTTCTACAATATTCTAAATATTTTACATCCATTATTGAGCAAAAATCATGTTAATCCCCTGTTGCTTCTGAAAGAGACTTTTTAGATAACACTGTCTTGTCTTTAAATCATCAAGAAAACCATAGTTTCTGGAAGGGTTCCTAAGCAATAACACCTTGTCAAGGTGTGAGCAGAGTGACGCGAGTGGAGCCTGTTGCACCTTACACTCAGTCTTGAAACTTGGGTCTCAGACTGCAGAAGGTTCCTGAAATAAAGAAGTCCTTGAGCTGTATTCTGCATCCATGTTCTGGAGATCTTGTCTGCTGGATCTGAAACTAGGAGGCAACCAACTTAATGAAGTGGATTTTATGCTCGTGGCTACAGTGGTAGCTAAATTCTTAATGCAGCCTGTTGGACTCATATAGCAAAGTTAGAAGGAAATGTTAAGGGCATTGAAGAGAAAAGCAGGATTTTGTGCTGCTATTCCTTCTCAGGGGAAGAAAAAAAAGGGTCTCAGTTTCCTCCTCACCACCTAAAACTCCTTCAGGCTTTCGCAAGGAGTTTTAACCTCTTTTCTATACTGCAGCTGAGAGCACTGATCTGCAATCAGATACGGAATCTAAACAATGTGCTTAGTTGTTATATCTCACATCTTTATTTATAAGGTATTATGAACCTAATATGTATACTGAGAATCCATATCTTGGCAGTTACTAGGTGTCACTGGCAAGGGTTGTTGGCTTCACTGGCAAGTAGCTTTCTGAGCTAGATGGCAGAATTAGCCCTATATGTGGTATGTTTAGCATCTGTGTGACATCTGTTAAAGCAAACACATTCTTTCTTAGAGCTCCATAAAGATTTCAGTCATGAGATCCAAAGCACCTGGACCCAGTAAATGCACCCTGAATTGAGGGATTAACCTTTTCATATGAGAATGTGGGTATTGTAGTTACATCTTCCCTCGTAGAGAATCTTCCTTGTTATTTCATGACTTAGTTAACAGAATAACAGCTACTCTGAAAATTCCCTGTGCAGCAGTTGAGATTTTTTCCCATCCCATCTTTGACAGTTAATTCTCCAGCAATGAAACTGAACTTCGCAATTCCATTTTTGCCCAATTTTTGGACATGTTTTTATAGTCATCAAATGCACCATGATCCATTCTTTCTTGTCAAGCATTTTTGGAAAGACAGACAACTATTGTACCCCACTGTACTACGGATATTGTACTATATCTATTGTCTGAAGTTTCACTGAAATAGAATACAGCCAGAAGATGATGATTCTCTGCAGCTGGAGAAATGCCAATATAAAGCTAAAATATTTATTGATGTAGAAGACAAATTTCAAGAAGAAATCTGATTTCTGTTATATGGGATAACTAATGTAATATGCTACCAGTTTACTTGGTGGACTTCAGGTGCAATCAAAAGACATCACTGCATGTATTATTGATAAAGGACTGTATTCTCAGTAATAGGACACAGATGTCATTACATTTAAATTAGATGCAAGTTGATACAAGTTATTTTCATGTTTTAATGTTGGGGTCTTTTTTACCAGAGACAATGAGATGTATTAGGTTTGTTAAAATATATCGAATTGGTTTTATTTTAAAGGTGGAAAGTTCAGTTTGTTAGAACTCAACTGTGCCTTCGTACATTCCATTAGTATAAGTTCACTTACATATGAAGAATTATAGAATGATTTATATGGTCACTTTGTAATTGTAACTTCAATTTCTTCTGTTAGCGACTAGCTATCTGTTTGACCTCTTTATATAATGTTAGTTGACCTCTGTGTACTCGCTTTTCTGTTCTTACAGCTGGAAGTTGATTGGAATAAAATCAAAGCCAAAATAGAGATGGAAACTGCTAGAGAAAGAGAACGAGCAGCAGCCAGTCCCGCAGTGAGAGCTAGTGTCACTGTACAGCAATAACTGTCCTTTTGGTCACATTAATAATTGCTTCTCAAATATTTTGTACTGGCATATTTTGACAAACATAAATAAAAAAAAACAACACAGCAAACATTTTGCCGGGAACCGGAGTGAGAATTGGTGCAGTTCTTGTTAATTGTTGGATGACAGGCAGAATTATTTATTTACTACAGTCTCATTTTGAGCTGGGTTTATCTTCTGATGCCCTAGCTCCAGAGAGTAGCTACATTGTAGTCCATAATACATGTATGAGGGAAAAAAGGGAAATTAACTTTTGTCTTTCTGTTAGTGGCTTTTAAATTTTCATTGCCATTAAAATTATTTAACCTTGCCTCTAATTAAGTACCGATTTCCCTGTTTAAGCACCTAGTTAAGTAGTTTGGTTATTTCTGCAACCTCAGGGACCTCTGAAAAGACTTGTTTAAATTGCCCTAAAACAAATTTAGCAAACTTTAAATGGTGAAAATTAAAGGAGAAGCTTGCGCCTAGAATGCAAAAGTACAAAAGAATATTTCACTCACAGTTGCGGTAATACATATTTCTGCTAGTACATATGTACTAGCAAGTTGTTCAGTAGATGATTTCAGATTACTTCAGCAACTCAGGTTTGTCACTGTAGCAAACTATTTAGCAATAAAGGGTATTTTCTGAGATAATGTAAGTTGTTTAAGATACTATGGAATGTGCTTTGAATGTTGTTTGAAGTAACAGACAGCGTTGTTGGTTGGTTTTGTGGCCTCTAACACGTATCATTGACAATGGTATTCAGAGCTTCCTTAAGGTTAAAATATTATATTCCTTTAAAATAAGGAAGAGCTTTCCACGTATTTTTTCTGCCCAAAGCACTTGATTTGAAAATATTGTTTTTACATTTGTGTTATTTCATCTAGATATATTTTTATTTGTTTTACGTATGAAAGTGACTGCATATGTTACATGTTTTTTGCAGAAGTCCTTTGCATTATAAATACGTGAGCAGGTTATTCATAATTGACATTGTATAATATGTATCTTTCAAATGTTACCATCAAAATGTTAAATACCTGTATATCTGGCAAATTTCCTCTGTTTTGTAAATCATTATGTGGTACTTTTTTGCATAGTTCATAAATTTCTTAATAAAAATAAATAAAGGGTTTTTTTAAAATGTATCTAATAGATGATGCATTAGGTGATGTCCATTGATTTACCTGACTGCTAAATAAAACAGCATTTTTGATGTAGCTCATTTGAAGCTCCGCAGTATTCTGGTGTACTGACATGTGGCAAAGTGAACACCTTCATCTTCCATTGACTTGCAGAAAGAAGTGCAGAAAGCACTTACTAGTTCCAGAATTGAGCCCAAAATATCACTAATGGCAAGTGTTTAATGTTAAATTTATGAAGCCCGGCTCAGATTTGTAATGCGATGTAAGCAATTTTTGAAGACCAGTCTAGTGGTGATACAAAGTTCAGGGTCTCAGCTCAATCTCGCTCTTTTATCTTTGGGCCAGTTGGAAGTACAGCGGAGGCAGCAAATTCACTCAGCTTCTTAAAAATGCCCGGTGCAACAATTAACCATTGCAAAGATGAGGCAAAACAATGGAATGGACGCCACGCTTGCAAAGGTAGTCTTTGACTGCCCTTCAGGTTGGTGTCGATGTCATTCACAGAAAGTGATACGGCAGTACTTCAAGCTGGATCCCCATGTCTCGGTATTAACAAGAAGTGTTGTATTTGTAGGTGATGGGAAAGGTTGTTTAGTTTCTAGGCCAAAGCACAATAAAGACCTTAAGGTGTTTATCGCTGATGAGATCTATTTTTTTCCATGCACATCCAGTCCTGAACTACATGCTGTGCTGAGCATGTTTGTGTTAAATAGAAAAACAAAGAATAAAAAACAAAGAAAAACAAATATTTTGGAAAAGCACTATTTATCCTTTATTTTCACCAGGTTCTAATATGCAGGTAACCTGATACAATTCCAACCTTGGGTATGAAATCTAAATTTCAGAATATTCTTGGAAGAAAATGTTCTTACATGTCTTACCTGGGATTGTTGCAGGGTTTTACATAGCACAATTGCGATTTCAAAAAAAGTGCCATCTGTCCAGTGCAAAATATTTTTGTGCTAGTTTGTCTGGGGGTTTTAAAGTTCTGCATTGCATTTGTCTGTACCTGTTCTCAGTCATTTTCGATAGTTCATTTAATGACATCTACTAAGTAAAAAGAAATACCAGAAGGATACAGATGTTTCAGGTACGTTTATAACAAGCTGCAACAAACCTTGTGTATCTGCTTCAATGGGCCATTTCTGATGCATTTAGATAAGATTTGCATATTAGCAAGTGCAAAGTAAGATCAAAAGTACTTTCACCCTACTTGTTGTGTTTATGTCATATTACCTCCTTGTCCAAACCCTGATTTAAAACCTTCCAGAGCTATAAATGAAATAGCTAATCTGTTACTGGTTGCATTATTGTCTAGTGCAAGAATACTGATTCTTCAATGATTTAAGAGTACCTATTTTAAAAATAGATAGTGCCCTATTTAATTATTGACTGCTTAATTTAAAACATCGTAAACCTATTTAAGAAGTAGAGATTAACATGATTGAAATTTAATTGGTTTAGTTGCTGTTGTGATGGATCAGTTATTCAAATATAACCCCAATTTTGCCATAGCAGGATGGGTGTTGTAGTTCATACGCTTCAGTTCTTTGTGACCTTGGGCACAGTAGATTCTCTCTGGTTGTAAGAAGGGAGATTCAAATGGAAATGTGAAAAATGTATCTTTAAGTGAGGTAAAAGTAAAAGCTAAGATGGGTGTTTAAAAGCCATAATTGAATTAGGGAAGCAATATACTGAAAAAATGTGTGCATTAGGTAGCACTTTTGTCTTTTAAACTTTCAGACATTCCAAACATTGCACTTAGCCCTCCTTGCATGTGGGCTTGGAAATGATGTAAAAATAGGCAGAAATTTTTTTTCCCATTCTAGCAGTGTAAAATGGGACAAACCTAAATAGTCTGTTAAAGTCAGTACCCTACCCTGCATTCGAGGACGGCCATTTTTACATCCCAGTCTTCATGCATTGTCCATCATCTGTTGGGTGATGGGCAGAGGTTGCAGTCTGTTACATGTGGACAGTTTTCTATTTATGGTACGCAGCAGCCACCGTAAGTTTCTAAGAGAAGTTACTGGTGGGTGCCAATGGTGGTTGCAATGAAGAGCGGGGAAAAGAGTGTTTTAGGGACGTCCTCTTGGATTTGACACAAAAAAAAAAAAAATCGGTAGTACTGCTTTAATTTTGCTTTCCACTGCATTTTAACTATCATTTTGGCTCCAATTATTCCAGGTAATGCAAATGGTTAAAGAAACCTTCTTCATTTTTACCTCTAGCTTAATTTTTGTATGGTTTGCATATTTTTAATAGTTCAGAGGAAAAAGAACTAATATTTTTTGTGTTCTGATATCTAAGACAGCGAGACTGAGATCTATGTTTGACTGTCAGATTTGATCCTTTGGAATTGGATCAGGATGAAGCTTTGGATCATCTGACATGAAAGCTTAATTTCACAGTTTACGTCAAGCCATTTCCTCCTGCAGGAAAACAAATGTTCATCTCTCAAAGATTCTGTGCATGAGACAGCTGTGGGTATATCACATTTGTACTGGGGGCCAGAAGCTGTGTCACAGAAGCATCTTTGAGGGAGATGAGAGGTAACAGCAGGTAAGAGGTGGTGTTCCAGTGTGTCTGGGAGTTATGAACTCTAGGCTTCGTTTGTGGCTTTGTTTTGGCCTCTGTCTCGCTTTTTCCATCTGCAGATGGGAGTAATGTATTTAGTGACGTTGCAGAGCTGGCTTTTGGATCTAAGAAGTTAATGTACATAATGCGGTCAGACAGTGGAAAGGCTGGCGAATTACAACTTTAAAGGTTTTCAAACCCCAAACCAATAAACATTAATAAATGTCATGGCACTTGATGAAGATGGCCGGTATTGTTATTCCCTTATTGAACAGAAGTCACTTGCCCACGGTCATCCAGCAGGCCCACGTAAGCTGGCAATAGGACTGAGCCATCTCTTCAGCTGAGCCCTACCTGCTGATCCAGACAGCTGTAAGGAGACCACCCTCATCCCTGCCAGAAACTGGGATAGTTGGTGAAGGCTGTTGAAATGCCAAGGAATCAGTTTGCAAAGCAGACTACAAGATTTAGCTCTGCAGCTCTCATTGAATTTAACAGAAAACGGCCCAGATAGAATTGGCCGGAGGTTTCACAGCCAGGAGCTCAGCGAGATCCGCGTGTGTGGCGAGCACAGCTGGGGAAGAAGCTTCTGCCTTGAGCTGCAGTGGGATTTCATCCAAACCTATCCACCTGCATGCCGTTAAAAGGTAAAATTCACTATTATAGGTAACAAAAAATGTCCTCCAATCTTCTGAGACTTACTCTTTGCTATTTCTTCAGAAAACATCTAGATTCTGTTGAATAGTGAATGGAAATACTGATGGTAAAGCAGGGGGGGAAAGAAGCGCTATGCGTTGAGTTACGATGTGTTGGTACTTCTGATTCCAAAAGAAGCAAAATAGGAACCAAAAAGTTGGTGTTGCGCTGACAGAGTGAGTCTTAGGAAGGGCAAATGCCTCAAAGCTGTGAAATACACTGCTTTTCAAGCAGTAAAGCAATTTGAGACCTGTATCGTACCGGCCTGGTGCCAGCCTTGACATGATTTTTCGGGTATATCCAGTAAATCTGCCTGAAATGTCATGTAAGCCCAGTGTGTTTGGTTTGGGGCCCTTGACTGAAATGATAAATTCCTTTACAGTTTAACTTTTAAGAAAAAATTAACTGAGAATTTTCATCATTTATAAAACAGAAGACATCATTTTGGCAAGATACTAATTTCATATTTTGTCAGAGCGATGCCCTTCCTGCAACTACAAGCTTTTGAAGCCTACGGGATTCATCAGGCCGTTTAACCATGATACACGCAGCTCACAAATATGCCATTAAAGGTTCTCCCATGTAATCTGTGCTGTCTTCGGGGCTAAAAAGAGCTATTGAAGAGCTAATGCTCATTTGTAAGAGACTGGTATCTGCTGTTTCTTTTCCTACTTCAAACCTTC